AAAAAAAAAAAAAAAAAAAAAAAAAAAGAGCAAGCTTTTACAATTTTGACCTAGTAACAAAAGCCTACCTTTGAGTGTTAAACATGAGTGTCCTTGAGTGAAATTTTTGTGAGAAGTATGGAGAGGTCCCTATTGCTGATAACAAAATGTCACATAACAGAGAAGTACCACCAGTACTAGATCTTAATACAACCATTATTCAAGCAATTTAAGGTATGATGGAAATGATAATGGAAGATAGTCAAGAACAAAGGGCACAACAACAAAGATAAGAACGAGCATTACAAGAAGATGAAGGTATAGTTGTACAAGAAAGACACGTTGAAGGAAGATGGAGGGGAAGAAATAACTATGCAAATATTATGCAACCTAGAAGGATGGAAAGAGTGCATGAAGATAGAGATGGGGGAGTTAAACTCAAAATCCCACCTTGTGGAACGGCAGATTCTGAGACATACTTGCAATGGGAAAGAAAGATAGAGCATGTGTTTGATTGCAACACCTATAGTGAAAATAAGAAAATGAGACTTGCTATTGCCGAATTCATTAGTCATGCCGATGATTGGTACCAACATCTCAAATCCGAGAAAAGAAGAAAAGAGGAGGGTCTAATAGAGACTTGGGAAGAACTTAAAGAAGCCATGAGAAAAAGGTATGCTTCAAAACATTATGAAAGAAATTTGAAAACTAAATTGTGTTGAACACAACTCTCTGTGGGAAACACTCGCATTCTTTATTAACACCAATCGAGAAGAGAATACAAGACACTCTATAGAATACTGTATTTTTTTATTATTTTTGGATTTATGGGATGAAAACCTAGGTAGGATGGAGGGATATTTATACTAGAGCCTACGCAATCTAGACCTAATAAATCTAAATCTTTTTTCTAAAAATATCTAGATCTCTCCTAAAATATCGAGGTATATCTTTATTTAAAATATCTACTAAAATAAATATACAATGGGCTCGTACATTTATTGGGTTTTACCCTATTGAGCTAGTGATGATATTTTAACTCTCCCCCTCAGCACTAGTCCTCAATCGCCGCTCCATGTTGAGCTGACAGCGAAAACTCTCATGTTTGCCAGTATTCAACCTTTTTGTAAACAAGTTTTCCACTTGGTCATCTGTCTTGATTTGCTGCATCTCGATTTCTTCCTTTAGGATCTTCTCTCTAATGAAATGGTAGTGCACCTCCACATACTTTGTTCTAGCATGAAACACTGGATTTTCTGCTAGGCGAATCGCAGATTGATTGTCGCAATGAAGTGATATTGGATAGTCAATTTTCTGGTGCAAATTTTCCATCAAGATTTTCAGTCATGTACTTTCCTAAGTTGCTCCAACCGCTACTCTATACTCTACTTCTGTAGTTGATAATGATACTATCTCTTGCTACACCAAGAAATTGTTCCCAAATCAAACTTGAACACATACCCAGTGGTTGACCTCCGAGTATCGTGGTCTCCTGCATAGTCAGCATCACAGTATCCAACTAGCTTGCAGTCTTTACTTCTTTTGTACAAAAGACCATAATCGATTGTACCTTTGACATATTCCAAGATTCGTCAAGCTGCATCTATATAAGGCTTCTTTGGACTTTACATGTATCGACTCATAACCCCAATTGCATAAGAGATATCAGGCCGAGTTAAAGTTAGGTAGATAAAGCTACCTACTAGTTGTCTGTATGTCGTTTCATCGTTTAACTCTTTGCCTTCATGTGCTCAAATCTTGGCATTTGTCTCCATCGGTGTAGAAACTTGCTTGCACTCATACATGTTGAACTTCTGAAGCATATCTCTTGTATACTTTTATTGGCAGAGAAACAATCCTTCATCTATGCGATCAACTTCTAGGCCTAAGAAGTGTTTAAGCTCTCCTAGTTCTTTCATCTGAAAGCGTACTGATAAATTTTCTCTTTCGTCGTCCCCAGTGATAATCAAATCGTCCACATAGACCAACACAATTGCCAAATTTTCTTCTCTTTCTTTGATGAAAAGGCTTGAGTCTACATGCGCAACTGAATAATCACTTTGGGTAAGAAATTCAACAATCTTACAATACCAAGCTCAATGCTTGCATTCAGCCCATAAAGAGCTTTTCTAAGCTTGCATACATAATTAGGATTAGCTGCACTCTCAAATCCCTTTGGTTGGTTCATATAAATCTCCCTCTCTAACTCTCCGTGCAAGAAGGCATTCTTCACATTCATTTGCTACAGATTCCAATCTTTACTTGCTGCAAGTGCTAGCAGGACTCGTACGGTAGTGATCTTTGCCACTGGACTGAATGTTTCATCATAGTCTAGTCCATATTGTTGAGAAAATCCTCGAGCCATGAGTCGAGCCTTGTATCTTTCAATTGATCCATCCAATCGACGCTTTATTTTGTAGACCCACTTGCAAGAGATGGTTTGACATCTCCTAGTCTTGGCACTAGTTCCCAAGTTTGATTATGCTCTAGGGCTATAATTTCTTCCTCCATTGCTTTCTGCCAAATCGAGTTTTGTGATGCTTCTTCATAAGTCTTTGGTTCGTAAACTCTATCTTCTACAATAGCTGCATTTGCATACTTAAGATTTTGCCTTCAAATTCTATTTGATCGCCTAAGTTGTTGATGTGTCGTTTCATTTTTATTAGATTTGCTTGATTGATCCTCCTTTTGCTTGTCAATATCAATGTCACTTTGATCTTCGGGTGCATCAACATTTGATTAAATTTGTGTAGTTTGCTCCCCCATCTTCTATTGTAGAATTTCTTCGATGTTTGAATCTGGAAAGACTTTCTTCTCCGAGGACCACCATGAAGATTCTTCATCAAATACTACATCTCTTAATGTATAGTATTTTCCACTTGTTGGATCACAACACCTCCATCCTTTCCTTTGATTGTTGTATCCAACAAATACACACTTGACTACTTTCTTGTCAAACTTACTACATAGATTGTCAGACACAAATATATAGCAAATACAACCAAATACTCGGAAGTAACTAACTGTAGGTTTCATATCCCATAGTATCTCAAATGGTGAGACGAATCCTAGCTTTCGTTAAGGAAGCTTATTGATCACATGAGAAGCAGTTCGCATAGCTTTAGCCCAAAATCTTCCTGAAACATTCTTTGCGTGTAACATGCTTCGACAGATTTTTGCAAGGTGTCGATTCTTTCTTTCTGCTACACTATTTTGTTGTGGCGTGTTGGCACATGTAAACTGACGTCGTATCCCACAGTCGTGTAAATATTGATCGAACTCATCTGACGTGTATTCTTCGCCATTGTCTGAACGTAGGCAACGGATCTTCACTCCTACTTCTTCTTCGACCATCTTCTTGAATTCTTGAAACTTTGAGAACGTGTCAGACTTTTCTTTCATAAAGAAAATCCACACATATCTTGAGTAGTCATCAATAAACGTCACCATATACCGCATTCCGCTGATTGATGCTTGTTTGACTGGGCCGAACAAATCGGAGTGAATTTACTCTAATGGTTTCTTTGCTTTGAAACTTGACTCTTTGTATGGTAATTGATGAGCTTTACCATATTAACATCCAGCGTAAACAACGTCTGTTATGACTTCAAGTTGAGATAGACCTTTGAGCATGGATTTCTCCATAATCAGCTTCAATTTATGGTAACTAATATGTCCCAATCTTGCATGCCATAGATTTGTCGTCTCATTCTTTCGAGTCTTGTCAACATAGGCAGACTCTGTAGATAGAACATAAACAGACTCCACTCTTCGTCCTTCTATTGTTGGCTTTCCTATTATCTTAACATCTTGATAAACTTTTATATCTTCTGGCCCAAACATGACATAGCTTCCAGATGTTGTTAGTTGTGACACTGACAACAATTTCTTCTTTATACCCAGTACATGATAAACATTATGTAGCGACACTGTATCAGACTTATTGCCAGGCATGATTGTCGTATTGCCGATCTGAGCAATTGATAACTGTGTGTTTATTTGCTATGTGTACCATACGACTTCCTTTGTACTCTTTCTTGTCTTGCAATTTTCTCTGATCGTCAGTTATGTGGTTCGAACATCCTAAATCAGCGATCTAGTCATTCTTATAATTGATATGGTCTTCCATTGTCGCATGAGTGCTAGCTCGTCTTCTTCTATGGGACATAGTACCTCTGCATCCCATTCATCCTCTATCTTCTTTTTGGATATTGCCACATTGCTTTCAACAGACTTTTTTCTAGACCAACAATCTCTAGACATGTGGCTCTTTTTCCTGCAATTATAGCAAATACCTCCAAATCTCTTTCCTTGGAAACTCTTGTTGTCGTTCTTCTAAGCTCTTTGAGGTTGTTGATAACTCTCTAAAGGTAGAGTCATATCAAGTCTTTTTGTATTTAATATGGCATTCTTATTCATCATTTTCTCATTATTTACCCCATTTATTCTACTTAGTGTGCATGAAATCGTTTGCGGTTCAATATGAAAAGAAATATGATTTGGCATAAATCGATAGTACATTTAATTGAGTTATGTGGTAAAATTTCAGACATTTATGCTGAACCATGAGGGAGTAGCAAATCTGGAAATAAATAGGGATGACATGGAAATTTTAAATTCACATCAGCAGTCCAAGTGGGTCATTGATTACCCAATGAGGAACATCCTATGTGGACAACTTATTCCTTTTCAGCCCCAAAGGAGAACTCATGCTCAATATAAAAGAGAAAGGAAGACCAAGAAGAGGGGAGCCACACTTTGGGGAGAAAAATCGAATTACTCAGCAGCAGCCTCTGCTGCGGTGAATGGCTGTGAAACCAGAGAAGAAGAAAACCCTAATCCAGCAGTTGTTGACAGCAGAAGAAAAAGGAGACCAACAAGGATTGATTAGGGCAAAGAGGTGGACGTGAGAGCTCAAGAGAAGGGAACTTCCATTGATGAATGGCAACAAACAGGGATAACTCTCTATTTCCTTATCCTCTTTCCTTATTCCATCAATTTTACATGATGAAGATGTGGATTCCTCTGTTTAATTTAGTTTGTATGGAGAGCTAAACTTAATAGGGGAGGCGCGAGAGTTTTATATAGTTTAAGTATGTTGACGGTATGATTTTAGTTTATTAAAGAGTTGTTGTTAATGATTTACATATATGTTTAATTAGCTACTTTACATACATAGTTGTTCTCTTATTCGGGAGAAGACAAGGAGTAATGAAATCCTCTTTAATAGTCTAGTTCCATAGCAAGGAGACTTGAAGGGTAATAGAAGGGCTAGGAATAATTCTTCTCCTAGAGCCTTGTTAATAGAAATTACAATGATTATGAAAATAATCACCATTCATGACTCTCAGAAGTGGGTTTGGGAATCTATTAAAAGGAACTAAAATCTACCACAAAACTCAATAACTTATCTATTTAATCTCTCTTAGCCGAACCTTCCTCATTATAATTGATTTTCTCATCATTTTATGTTTTTCGACACCAGTGATACTCTGTTTTAGTTTTGTTTAAGTAGTTAAAATCACCAACACCCATTTGAATGTTACCCAAAAACTCACTTAAATTTCAGCGATAAAATTAACCAAAAAGATAGGTTTCCTGTGGAATCGATAATTTACTTATTACTTGCTGCTTGTGATAGTGTATACTTGCACTTATTCTTGTGAATTTTACATCATTTTATTATATACATCCATAAGCGATCAGTTGTACAGTTCCTTGATGGCTTTTTCTTTTGTCACCATTTTTGTATCCACGTTTGGTAGACGGCCTATTATTGCTCCAACTTTCACTTGTGTAGAGTGTTTCTTCTTTACCCTTCAATGTGATGTCTCTCATTTATTTAGTCATGGCTTCTTGGCTGGCTAACAAATTTTCGAACTCTACAAGTGATGGTTGAGTGGGCCATCCTTGTACAAAGTAATAAAGCTTCTATATTCTAGTTGCAGTCCGTGGATTATAATCCTCTTCATTCGAGATTCTACAATGGCGGACTTTGGGTCTAGTTCAGTAATCTCCTAAAAGATCGACTTGACCTTGTGGAAGTACTGAGTAATCGTCATGTCACATTGTGAAATTGACAACAACTCATTCTCCAGGAGTTGTAGCCTCGTATCGTTCTTCTTTGAGAACAGCATCACGAATGTGTCCCATACTTCTTTCGGTGTCTTGTCATCCCAATTATGTTATAACATCTCTTCTTTGATTGTGGTCTTCAAAGAAAACATTGTTTTGCCTACTTTGATTCTCCATTTGCGCAAGCAGCTGTTAGAATCCTCCAACGATCTCCCAAAGATCCTATCCTTGTAAATAGGACATCATGCATGTTGCCCACATGTTGTAGTTGTTGTTGTTGAGTTTCTTGATTCCTCCAACGATTTAGAAATCATCCATTGTGTTGGCCATACCTCAATAATACCAAACAAGTTCTTTCGACACAAGACTTGCAAAGTCACAGACGACTCACGACACAAAAGAAACTCACTCACTACTAATCTCAAGAAGTCGTTTCTGATGTGGAAGATCAGATAGAGCTACAACCACAGAACATACTAAAAATTCCAAGAGAAGATAACCTACACTAACCTCACTCTGATACCAAATTGTTGAACACAACTCTCTGTGGGAAACACTCGCACTCTTTATTAACACCAATCGAGAAGAGAATACAAGACACTCTGTAGAATACTGCTACTCTTTATTCTTTTTGGATTTCTTGGATGAAAACCTAGGTAGGGTGGAGGGGTATTTATATTAGAGCCTACTCAATCTAGACCTAACAAATCTAAATTTTTTTCCTAAAAATATCTAGATCTCTCCTAAAATATATAGGTATCTTTTCCTAAAATCTCTACTAAAATAAATATACAATGGGCTCGTACAATTATTGGGCTTGACCCTCTTGGGCTAGTGATGATATTTTAACAAATTGCAAGGTTTGAGGCAAGGAACAAAAAATGCTGCTGAATATTATCAAGAGATGGAGACTATGATGGAAAGAGCAAACATTAGAGAAGAAGAAGAAGACACCATGTCTAGATTCCTTGGAGGTTTGAATCAAGAAAATGCTCATCTTATTGACAGAAATTCACCACCATATCTAGAAGAGACATGTATCATTATGATATCAAAATTGAAGACCAATTGAAGAAAGAAAAAGAGCATTAAAAAAGGTACACATCACGAACTAACACCTTTTCAAATTCTAAAACTTGGAACAAGGATAGTTTTGTGAATAGAAATGAATCGATGTCACCAAAAAAAAAAGTTTATGACTGCTAAAAGAGTGGAGGCTTAGAGTTCCAATGGTAAAAAGAATGAAGCTTCAAAGACTGTAAAGGAGAAGTCTAATTCTATTTAATGTTGGAAGTGCAAATGTTTTGGACACGAGCAAAAAGTATTAATAAAAAAGTTTATGGTGATAAAGAATGGTATACTTGATTCAGATAATGATTGTCAGGATCATGATTCACAACTCATGGAAGAAATCGCAACATATGATGATGAGTATGTTGAAGAAGGTAATTCCATATCTTTGATCACAAGAAGGGTACTCAATGTTCAAATCAAGGAAGAGAAATTTGAAATCAAAAGGGAAAACTTGTTCTAATCAAAGGAAACCCATGCAACTTGGTGATTGATAGTGAAAGTTGCACAAATGTGGTTAAGTAGTTTCCTTATAGAAAGACTTCAACTTTCTGTCCATCCCATCCAAAACCATAAAAACTTCAATGGTTGATAAAAAAAAGAAGAAATTAAAGTGAACTCCCAAGCTCTTATTTATTTTACTTTTGGAAGATATAAAGATGAAGTCCTTTGTGATGTCGTACCAATGCATGTGGGAGACATCTTGTTCGGTCGACCTTGACAATATGAAAGAAATGTAACATTTGACGGTTTGATGAACAAGTATACTTTTACTTTGTAGGGAAGAAAATTACTTTACTTTCATTGTCTCCATATGAAGTACATTGTGACCAATTGAAATTAGAGAAGAGAAGAAAATAATACGAAGAACAACAGTGGAGAGAAGAAACTATGGTAAAAGAGAGAGATAAGAGTGAAAAAAAAATAGAAAAGTGAGGAGTAAAGAAGAGTGAAAACCAAGAAAGAAAGAAAAAATGATTTTGAGGAAAAGAGAGAAAATGTGAGTTTGGTTATAAGAAAGGGAGAAATGAGGAATATGTTAGCCCAAGAATCAAAATTTTACTTTGCAAAGGAATGTGTTTAGTAATGATGCATTGCCAAGTGCTTTTAAGTCTCTTTTGCAGGAATTCAATGACATGTTTCCACATGAAGATGCATGTACGGGGTTACCCCCTCTAAGAGAGATTGAACACTACATTGACTTCGTGCCTGGGGCAACTCTTCTAAATATGATTGCCTATAGGACCAATCCCACCGAGACAAGTGGAAGAACTCATGGATAAAGACTATGTTAGAGAAAGCATGAGTACTTGTTCAGTTCCTGTGATTTTGATACCTAAGAAAGACGGCACGTGGAGGATGTGTGTTGATTGTCGAGCCATCAACAAGATAACGGTAAAGTATCGACATCTTATTCCTAGATTGGATGACATATTAGATGAATTATATGGTGTTAATCTGTTTTTAAAAATAGATGTTAAAAGTGGTTATCATCAAATTCAAATGAATATGGGAGATGAGTGGAAAACGGCTTTCAAAACAAAGTTTGGGCTTTATGAGTGGCTTGTTATGTCGTTTGGCCTTACAAATGCACCAGGTACTTTTATGAGGTTAATGAACCATGTTTTAAGAGACTATATTGGAAAATTTGTTGTTGTATACTTTGATGATATCCTTGTTTACTCAAAAAGCTTGAATAATCATATTTTGCACTTTAAGAAAATTTTGTTTAAACATAGAGAAGAAAAGCTTTATGTCAACTTCAAAAAGTGCCGTTTTTGTGTAGACCAAGTCAAATTATTAGGGTTCTTAGTTGGAAAGAATAGATTACAAGTTGATGAAGAAAAGGTAAAGACTATTAGAGAATGACCAATACCCACAAATGCAACCGAACTAAGATCTTTTCATAGTTTGGCTAGTTTCTATGGGAGATTCATTAAGGATTTCAGTAGCATAGCATCACTATTGAATGAACTTGTTAAGAGCATGTGAAGTTTGAAGGGAAGAAAAAACAAGATAAAGCATTCAATGAACTAAAATATAAATTAACCAATAAACCTTGTCTTGTTTTACCTAATTTTGATAAATCTTTTGAAATTGAATGTGCGTTGTTAGGT